GGGGGGGCAGCTACGGGGAGATCACAGGCAATACTATGGAATGTTACTTTGTCCACTGCCTTTTTTTTGACAAATGTTTCTAATGCCAACATTGTTTTAGATGAGCATATAAGGGTTAAAACATTGATCAGGTTTTAAAAAAAAATCTGTGTCCCCACTAGGGAGATTCACCATCTCTATCCTTTTGGTTATTGTCACTGGGACAAAAAGTGGCAGAAAACCCCAAAGTTCTACTTCAGGTCCTCCTCTGCTGAGTGACAGGAGGCAGTGGGCAGGTGCCATAGCCAGGCTGTTGCAATTTTAAAATAGACTTGTTGCTGGCTTTCTACCACCACACAGCAGTGGCACAGAAGAGCATGGTGGGGGACGGGTGGCACGGAGGAGCATGGCGGCTGATGGGGGACGGGTGGCACGGAGGAGCATGGCGGCTGATGGGGGACGGGTGGCACGCAGGAGCATGGCGGCTGACGGGGCGCATGGCACAGAGGAGCATGGTGGCTGACGGGGATGGGAAGCATGGAGGAGCATGGCGGCTGACGGGGGCGAGTGGCATGAAGGAGCATGACAGCTGACAGTGGGGGCACTGGGGCAGCATGGATGCAAATGGTGATGACATGGGGGCAGCATAGCAGCTGACAGCGGTATCTCCTCCTGCATGCAGCAGCTCCCTGTGAGGAGGAGAACGGAGAGCAGCGGCGGGGGGGTTTAGGCTAGAGTGAGATTAGGTTATGGAGCTCTCCTAACCGCTGGGCACTGGCTGCAGGGGGTCTGTGTTCCCTCTCATCCCCACTGGGAGCAGCGGAGATCAGAAGGGACACTGAGCCCATGAAACAATTAATCGTTGACTATTCTCTATCGATTTGGGTGTTGCAGCCCTAGTCCTTTCTGGGGGAAATCAACTTGACATGTTCCATGGTGATTGGATTATGGTAACGTAGGTGCCGATGTGGCTATAAGTGTTGGGTTATATCCTTAATACTCATTAGAATGGCGTAATCTTTATGGATGAGCAGCAAATCATCTGCTTTTCAGAACAAGTCTGGTTGAACGTGACCAACTACTGCTACCTATGCCATGACCAGGAGAAATGAAAACCTTCACAAGCTGTTGACATTTTTTTTTTTTTTTTCTTTTGGACGGGAAGACATTTTTCTTTTGGAATACCCCCAGACGCATACGTAGGCTTTGAAGCTTTAGGTGGTGCTGTACAGTGCATTTAGGACCCTGCTTGCAAATTTCTCATAATGTGGGATAAAACTAATTCTAATGAATAAACCTCATTCTTATGACTTAATGTGACCTCAATCGGTAATAATGGGGATGCTTTTGGAGTCCCATGCCACAGTTTACACACTGTTGGCCTAAAGCAGGGGTAGGCATACTCTGGCCCTCCAGTTGTGGTGCGACTAAATATCCAATGAGGCATTGCAAGACTCTTGACAGCCACAGACATGACTCCCATAGGCAGGTGCATGATGGAAGTTGTAGTTTGACCCTAGCTGAAGTTTGCCGACTCTGGTCTAGAGTGACACAAACTCTGAATACAGCTTTGCTTGTAGAGAAGATATATTGACCGAGTTTTAGGGGTTTTTTTCTGAGCATAATTCACAAATGCTAACAATCTTTCTGTTGCTTTTGGGAGAGTGTAGCAATCCTTGTGATTTCTCTACTCACTATGGTTTGGCACTAGGTGTCTATGGGTGTAGCCACGGCCTCTCCTTCCCCTCAGGCTAAGCAGCAATCCTGTGATGACTCATTGCAGCCTTTATCATTGCAAAACATCTGCGGCCTACTTCCACTCCTGTGTATCATATTCACATCTTCTCTGTAGCATGTGCTGTGGATTCTGCATTCAATTTGTATTTCATCTGTCACTTTTCATTGAATTGAATGTGACGTCCGATAGGATGATACTATAAATCTTCAGCTATCCTTGCTGCACATCGTTGGAAACAAAAGCTCAAAGCATCACCAGCCAAAACAATAAGCAGTTCTGAAGAATCATGTTGGTCAGAATAAAATAATTCTCATTGCCATAAGAGAAAAAAATAATTCGGATGACTCTGGGAAGTGATTTGCTCACCAAAAGATCCCTTTGCCTTGGAGGAACACGTCTTTTCCTTTGTTCTGTAGGGTTGTCTGCTGGAGTTGTGCAGTCTTGTCACATCATGCTGAGATTGGAGGCATCAGGCTATGGTCATGTTTATATGGACCTTCCTGGCTCTACATACACTTATGTTTGAGAACTTCATAGAAAAGGAAGTTTAATTAAACTTGCTATTGGTTATTATTTTTGTTGTATTGTCATCAATTGTACTTATACTGAATATTCTCTTTTTTATTTTTCAGAAAATGGCAGACCAATTTAGCGTAAGTCCCCATTTTTTATTCTACTTCTCCTAACCATTACTATTGTGATTCTGGTTTAATGTGACGGCTCTTGCAAAAAATAGAATAGCTCCTATAGAGAATCAAAATGTTTAAGTTAAAGCAGAACTCCAGGGAAACTTTATTAACCCTTGCAGTGGTCTAGGGAGGAAAATAACAAACTTATACTCGCTTGATCCTCCAAGCCGGCTGGCTGTTACTGTACTCTATCCAGCCTGTCTCCTTCTCCGCTGCAGCAATGGAATGCCGATTGGCGTCCTCGCGTTCTGTACACTATGCATAGAACCTGATCATTTACGGGACCTTACACTGCTGCAGCAGAGGGAGAGAGAGGCTCCAGGGGCTGCTCTAAGGGGATCAGGTGAGTATAACTTTATATTCCTCCCTAGAACAAAACGAGCACTTAACCCTTGCAGTGAGCACCAACTCGAGATGATTTGAGGATCTACAGCCGACTGATGCACAAATGAGATTAATTTTTTTTTTGTTAAGGGCTTGTTCACACCATATACAGTGTGTTCCAGCACGATTGGCTGCTGGAATGCACTGTATCGCATCCTGATTGTCTCCCTGCACTCTGGGCGGGAGGGGGCATGACGGAGCATTGAAGTCAATTACATCGCAGCCATGCCCCTGCCTGCAGTGTGGTCACCAGAACGAGTGGCACATCATTGCCTTTTGTTCCGGTCCAGTGCGATAAAAATAAATGGTGCTTGCAGCATTGACTTTAGTGCACCGCCATGCCCCCCCCCCCTCCTGTCCCAGAATTCAAGGAGCTGGTGGAGATGCAATACATCGAATCGTGCTGGAATGCACTGTATATGGTGTGAACAAATCCTAATGGCTGGGGGTACTTGAATGCATCTTTAAGATTTAATCCCTGAGTTTTGTATCACTTTGAAGCCTTATGGAATGTAGGATGTGTATTGTATCCCAGAACAATCTGTCAATATTGTTTTGTATTAATGGGCAGTGCAATGTTCTCCATACTGTGCTTTCAGTTTCTTTTCACTTCATTTTTTTTTTTTCCACTTTGCCACAGCTAGATGATGCCTTATCGGGACAAACCAATGCCAGTGGGCAGCAAAACCAGTCACAAGGTCAGAATTGGAATAATCAATGGGGAGGTCCTGGACAGCCATACCAAGCACCGGTGCCAGGCCAGCAGTACCCAGGATTCCCTGCAGGCGGACAGCAGTACCCAGGATTCCCTGCAGGCGGACAGCAGTACCCAGGGGGAATGCCTCCTGCAGGCGGACAGCAGTACCCAGGGGCAATGCCTCCTGCAGGCGGACAGCAGTACCCAGGGGGAATGCCTCCGGCAGGCCAACAGTATCCAGGGGCATTCCCAGGATATCCAGGTTTTCCAGCACCAGGACAGCAATACCCAGGTGCTCCTGCACCAGGGCTGCCTACTGACCCAAAAGTAGCAGGTCAATCAGGTCCCTCTCCATCAGCTCCTTTTCCATCAGCTCCTGGTGCCGTACTGGTGAGTGTATAATGAATTCAACTATTGAAAAAAAACAACCTTTGAATTACTTTCATTAAAGGATCCATTTTTATATAGCTGGGCGGATGCTGTTCACACGGCACCAGCGCTAGTAGATGGCACTGGTGAATATAGGAGTTTCTTATACTTGTCAGTACCATCTAGGGGCACTAGTGCCATGTGACCGGCATTCTCCTGGCTATATATAAATGAGCCCCTGAGACTTGCTTTATCCTTGTTGTATGATACAGTGGCATGCTTTAACCTATATATCTTTCAGAAAATACCACATTCACTACCCCTGCAATCTGGAATTATGGCTGGCCTGGTGGTGACTCTTCAAGGTGTGGTGAACCCTAATGCCAAAAGGTAATAGCAGTTTGAGTTGACTTAAGGTGTGATCTCTGCAGAGACAGAGTCCTATTTACAATGGAGTGTATCTGTGGAAATGCTTCATACTACACTTGCATTTTCAATTTTTTTATACACAAAATGCATCACGTAGCGTGGGGACTCCAATGTCCTGTGGTGTGTTCTCTGCATGATGTTGCACAAAGAATGCTGCCACATGACTTGTTTCAGGTCATGTGACCAGCTTCCTCCTCCTCCTCCTGCTGACACTTTAGAAATAGAATAAATGCGGCTTGGCTCACTTTAGAACCCAGAAGCAAGAGAAGCACATTGCAGCGTTTGGTAAATGTGTGCAGCAGAGATAGCTCTCTATTTGGGGGAGAGTTGTTCATGTGACTTCAGTTCCAGATGAGCTGCAAGGACCTGTCGGAGAGGAGCGGTCTTACGATTGCAGAATACCAAAGCACAAAAGAGCGCACTGGCATGGTCTAGTAAATGAAAATAGTCGCACACCTTGCATATAGGTAGAAATCCTACATAACCAGGGACTGCCTGCTCTCGTGTGGCCACTAGCTTCAGACCCAAGTCTCCGCTCTTTCCGGATACCAAAGCTGGTGGTCTCTGCTTACGTGACCTCTTTCCCTTAAAGAGGATCTCTACCTATATCTTTGAAATGACAACAAAGGCACCTTTTAGGAATGACCATCTACAGACAGATACTTCTAGATAATTGCCGGCTTTGCATACCTTATTTTTCCTTTCCTCCCTATTCTTCTTAAAGTAGGCCATTTTTTACTGAGGGCAGATTAATAGATTTCCCTTTCTTTCCTGGAACTCTGGCACATGTGACCATGCACATCATCTCGGGGGAGGAAAATGCCTTTCCCTGAGATCTCATGAGATTACAGAGGAGATTTCCCAGCAATGTCTGCTGATGTAACCTTCCCAGGATGGAATGCTTGGGCACAGCTTACATCCTTTTTGCCCAAGTGGACCAGGAAGTGGAACATAGTAATTGTAAAAGCAAAATATGTTTCTTTTACTAATGAATGTAAAATGTTTTTTTTTTACCACCCTGTAGGGATGCATGATGGGGTGATTTCTAGTGAAAGGGGGTAAAGGTTCACTTTAATTTGGGAGTTTATTACCATTGTTTTATCATACTGAAGATTTGCCACCACCGTGCCACTGCCCTCTCAAGCTTTGGTATTTTGTGGTGGGTTTGAATGATGCCGGCCTTTGGATTAATAACCTTTTAGAGGCAGAAAAAACACGCTGCAGCGGAACTGTCTGATTTAAGCTGTCTTTTATTTTGTTCTTTCAATTGACTAATAATTTTTATCTTGTTTTGTGACTGGAGTCCTACTTTAAATCTTGACTTTATTAAGTTCTGTTTTTTTGCCGTTTAGCTCGCACATAGCAATAAAAAAACCTGCCAGTGGTTCTGACCTTCCTACTTCAACCTCAGCACCCCCAGGTGTGGTGAATCTACAAATCCCATTATGCCCCTGCCTTTGGCAGTCATGCCTGTGGCTGTCAGAATTTTGCAATGCATCATGGGACTTGTAGTTCCAGCTGGAATGCCATGGTTGCCTGCCTCTGCCTTTACAAAAAGAAGAAAAAACTATTGGTATTAGAAGACTCATTTTCACAAAAATGCGCTAATGTAAGTGAAGCCTTGTTGCCAGCAAGAGATTGCAGTGCATACCTGCCTTGTACCAGCTACCGAATGTACTGTATGTGGAGGAGGTTAGCTGCGGTGGGGGTTTAGGGTTGGGTCAGGGCATTAGTAGAGGTCAATGTGGAAAACATTTATCAGCAAACATTTGGAAAAGTATATAGACATATTTTTTTTATTTTTTTTTTCAAGGCGCAAACTAACTTAACTCAAAAATAGAAAATCACAGCATTGTTTCTTAAAGCTGAACTCTGGGATAAGTTAATTATTGTGAAAATACAAGAGGCCTGCGCATTATTCCTTGAATCTTGGGTCTGTGTATATTTCCTCCAGATCTGTGCCGTAATCCAGTGTGAAACTTTTCCTTTTGTAAAGGCACTTCCTGTAATAAAGACTCGGCTCACTGCTGCTCTCTCTCCCTGTGCAGTGACTGGTCTTGTATCTGCCCCTCCTGTATTTTTCTGCAGGCAGCATGTAGTGGGTGGAGCTTACTGGTTCCCCTCCCAAAGCTCTGCTTTCTTCACAGGCTATGTACAGCACAGTGATGATATCACAAGGTGGTATCTAGGTTTTTTACGGGTGTTTGGTGCACACAAAGTGGATTTATATACTTGTGGCTGTTGACTAATCTATTTAGAATGGTTTTTGTTCTTCTCAAAATTCAGCTACAAATTTGTCTCTTTTAGGTGGAATATTGATTTTAAAAACAGAGATGATATTGTTTTCCATTTCAATCCACGATTTGATGAGAATCCAAATGTAATGGTGCGCAATTCGATGCTCAATGGTCGGTGGGGAACTGAAGAGCGGGGAGCGTCCAAGTTTCCGTTTAAGCAAGGACAACCATTTATGGTAAAGAAAAGAAAGGGGGGAAAAAAAAGCTTTAAAAATGAACTTCTGGATTGCATGGAATGTAGGTTTTCAGCTGAACATTCTGGATTAGATGAACCTTGACCGATCCAGACATCTTCAGCTGAAAAAATGTATGTCTTGTCACTCCTCTGCGCACTTCTGCCACCAGCGACAGTCCTCTGACTGCCGGGTACATATGCAGAAATGCAACTCTATTAAACGCCATAGCTGAATAGGTCTTCCACTGGATAAAATACAACTTTCATGAGGTTCTTGGAACATTTCAAGTACCAATCATGTGTGAGCCTTTATACGGTCAGATTTGATCAGATCTCGTGAATATAGTGTATGTGGCCTTCGTGGCTAACCTCCTTTTAAAAATGCTAATGGGCTCTCCTTGGCTTCAATGTTTTTATGCAACTCTGATTTAGAAAAAAACAAGTCCAGACCCTCCAGAGGCATAACCAGAGACATCAGGGCCCCCCGATGCAGGAAACCATGAAGGGCCCAACTGCCTACCCCCCACCTTACTTTCTGGACCCCCCCACCCCACCCCCAGGGGAGCCGTGACTGACAGTCCCTGCTCTCTGCAGGGAGGTGATCGGGAACTGATCAATGTCACACGTCGCCTCTAACTATGAGGATGAGTGGAAATCCCTCACCTTGTAGTTCTTCTTTAACTAATGAATGTAAGATTTCATATCGGCATGCAGAGTTGCATGCTGATGGGTTTTTTAGTAAAAGGGGGTAAAGGTCCACTTTAAGCCCTAATCAACTCCTTTCATTCTGCAAATGCGTGCTGAAGCCCATTCATTACTATGGGCCGCTCCCCATAGTAATTGTGGCCTCGGTGATCATGTGCAGAATGAGGGGGAAGTGGGGCGTCCGAGCCCAGGCTGCTGGATTGGGGCTGAAGGTAAATATAGGAACAGGCTGGCAGCACTCAGGGGGGTAAAAGCTTTTTTAAAGCTTAAATTCACCAATGGTGACTGTCTTAAGTGACTTGGTTGCTATGTGAGGAATCCTCTACCTACAAAAGATGATTAATACTTGTGTATGCAGTGGGCGATTTACACCAATGTTTACTCTGGCTGCTGACAAACAATTGTAAAAAGTGTAAAACCCCCAATCCAGATTTTTATTGGTGTCTTTGATCCCCTTGAGATGCCATTTCATGTTCTAGTGTCACAACAGGAAGTAAACAAATTTTAACCAGGTGCAGACATCCATAAAAATTACCATTTGCTGGTGAATTCTGATGCTGTTACATTTTCCAGCAGTAACTATTGTCCCTGAATGGTTGTGAGCTGGGATTGGGGGCTATTTTCTTTGTTACCCACTCCAGTAACTTATTTTTTCTGTTTTGGATTTTGATTTGTATTTCCATTCTTTTCCAGCTGCAAATCTTTATTGAGCAAGAACAGTATCGTCTGGCTGTCAACAATGAAAGCCTCTGCCAGTTTAAGCACCGAAACCGAGATTTGCAACACATTAATGTCGTAAACATTAGTGGCGACATCACCTTGAATGGGGCTACTGTAGGCATGATGTAATCTCTTCATAAAATGCTGTATGATCGTGTTAAAGCATGGCATGGCTTGGCTGATATTTTATATGAAGATTAGTTGTGTATATTGGAGAAAGAGAATAGCAGAAACCAATAAAAAAAAATAACCTGTAGATGTGTCTGACTCTATTTATATTGGATATTTCCCCCATTTCCAGCTCTCAGTGAGCAGTAGTGGCATTAATACCTGTGCAGGATTTTTTATAGGAATAGAATAACCAACAAGGAACATGTGACACTGCTGATCATCAAGTGAATATGAGCTTCACACATGCAGGACAAAGCAACCAGTTCTCTTTAATGTCATCTCCTGCAGTGAAAAAAGCAATACCGGCGCCCCTGGTTTGCAGAGAAATCCGGCTGTAAAGTTCATTGGTACACCATAGAGGCAGCTCCCATCGGTCAACAACGACCATCGATCTGGGAAACAAAAGCAACACAGAGCGCCTCCATAGTGTAAAACTTTTATTTGAGTACAACACGCAACTGAAAATGTACTTGCACGAAAGCCAATGATCATAAGCGTAAAAGGAAACGATAAAATATGAAAAATCTCCAGCAGGGGAAGTCTGAGGGGATCTCCAAATCAGCGTCCTCTGCTCCCGTATGTTTTAAAAAGGTCTACGCGTTTCAGGGGCACGCCCCTTCATCAGAACCTCAGGGACGCGTAGACCTTTGCTGTGTTGCTCCTTTTTATCGTTTTCAGTTTCCTCATCTCCTGCAGGACCTACATGCCTTCCTTTTTTTTTACTTCTCTGCTGCTTAATCCAAGGAGCAATACAAGATAATTTTGGGTATGGAAGAGCATATGATTAACTCTTCCCCCCCTCATGACAGTGCTGGAGTTTGATGAGCCACTCGGGCACCAGAACATAACATGATGGGGGTAGAGAGTCTTCAGCCCTGTGTAAGCTTGAACCAGGGTATGTAGTGGCCAGTTTTAAAGGGACCATGTAACCTACTTATAAAAATGACTTGTAAATACACTGAAGAAAAATTAGGTATTTGAAAGGCTAAGTCCACAAAATGTGAGAAAATGTAATGAACCCACACCACTCCGTCCCCATTGTTCATACTTTTTTTTTAAATTTAAAGCTGCAAGTGCTAAAGCACATGACCATGCTGACCATTGAGAAGGGCTTCTTACTTTTGGGACCTGGTCTCTGGCTCAGAAGCGCTTCTCATTGGTCAATCTGGTCACCAATCGTGCTCTACATTTTCATGTATTTTGCCTAAAACTGCAGGTCTGCATCATGGTTTAAGGACTGTATACTGCCTGCAAGAGAATATTGCAGCGTGAAGGTATAGACATTGGGGGGGCAGGTAGAGGTGACTGAGGGGGGCGAGTAAGTTCATTGTTTCACATTTTGCAAAATAGTGGACTTAACCTTTTTAAATGCTTACTTGCAGTGTTTCCTCCTTTTTTCATAAATTTTTTATTCCCTTGGAATGAGCCGTTGAATGTGCTAGAAACTTGACTATTCCAGGAGGAAACATTTCCCTGGAACAACCTTCTCTCTCTTTGCATACCATAGTCCTCTCCTGATAGTGTCCAATTACTAAAAATACCAAAACAAAATGGTGTCTAGACATCTGTGAATTCAACCAAAAATTGAGAAGTCAAAAATTCAGAGTTAGACTTACCGGTAACTCTCTTTCATATAGTTCTCTAGAACAACTTGTGAGAGGCTCCACCCCTTTTATTATGAAACACGGCACCCTCAGTTTCAAAGAAACCTAGCTCCTCAGTTGTATCGAGAACCGTAGGAAGACTCTGTAAACACAGGAACCAAAACAACAACCGAATATCATATTGAAATCACATTTCACCACCACTCCTATATCAAGGGTGGGAATCCAGCTGCTCTGGAGGACTAGGAAAGAGAGTTACCGGTAAGTCTAACTGAATTTCCCTTTCGTCCTCCAGAACAGCTTGTGAGAGGATAAAAAAGAACTTACCCACTTAGGGCGGGACTACGGCTTGGAGCACTTTTCTTCCAAATGTCTGCTCTGATGCAGCATTCAAATCCAGCCGGTAATGGCGGACAAACGTTGAAAAACTAGACCAGGTTGCGGCCTTACAGATCTGCTCCGGAGTGGCACCAGCCCTCTCTGCCCACGAGGTAGCTAACCCCCTGGGCGAGTGTGCATTCAAAAAAGGCAGAACACTAACCTGCTTAGCCCCATAAGCCTCCTGAATACATAGCTTTACCCACCTAGCTATTGAAGCCTTGGAGGCCTGTTTACCCTTATCCTTTCTGGAAAAAAGAACAAAAAGGGCATCCGATTTCCTGAATGTTCTAGTCATTCTAAAGGTGGCCATACACTCTACAACCATCGCAAGACCTTAGTCTTGCGATGGTTGTACAGGGATTAAAAAAACGTACGATCTGCCTATCTTGGACAGGCAGATCGCACTCTCGATCATCGCAAGCCCGCCCCCCTGAGTGGCGGGCTTCCGATGACCGCAATGCTGAACGGGCAGTGTGCGCGTGCGCACACCGGCCCGTTCGGCATTTGTCTTCCGAGCACCGTTCTAACCAGCCGAGAATCGTACGATTCCCGGCTGGTTTTCGAACATGCTGGTTCGACGGAAGACGTGCGACCATACAGTAGAAACGGTCGCACGTCTCCCTTCACACTGCTCTTTTCTCGTACGATCGGGGGATTTCCCGCGATTCTCGTACGAGAATCGAGCAGTGTATGGGCACCTTAAGGTACTCTATCAGGCAGCGCCTAACATCCAGGTGGTGAAAACTTGCCTCTTTCTGATTTAGCTGGACTACTGCAGAAAGAAGGTAACACGATCGCCTGAGATCTATGAAAATCTGAAGAAACTTTTGGTAAAAAAGCAGGATCTGTCCTCAATACCACTCGGTCTTCAAAAACCGTTAAGTGAGTTTCCCTTAAAGACAGAGCCTGCAATTCACTAACTCTCCTTGCTGTGGTTATAGCAACTAAGAACACGGTTTTCAACGTGAGCATCTTGATCTGAAGATCCGGTAGAGGCTCAAAAGGGGAAACCATCAGCCCCTGTAAGACCACCGAAAGATCCCATTTGGCAACTGAACAGCGTGTTACTGGCCTAATACGTTTAAGGGTTTTAAAGAACATACTCACTAGTTGATCATGTGCCAGGGAGCATTGCAAATATACGCTCAAGGCCGAGACTTGTACCTTCAAAGTGCTGATGGCTAAGCCCCTGTCCGCCCCCTCCTGAAGGAAATCCAGAATTGACAGGATGGTTGTATCCCTGTTATTTCTCTCTTTCCAGAAGCAGAACGTTTTCCATACCTTCCCATACATTTTTCGTGTAACCAACTTACGGCTAGACAATAAGGTGCTGATCACTCGGGAAGATAGGCCCTTCATCCTTAAAATCTCCTCAGATAGAAGGCATGAAGAGATAGCTTGTCGACTGCCGGATGCACGACCGGTCCCTGAGATAACAACCCCTGGTTGATCGGGAGCAGCCAAGGCGGTCGGTCTGACAAGGACAGCACCGTCGTAAACCACGCTCTCCTGGGCCAAAAGGGCGCTATCAAAATCAGGTTTGTTTCTTCCTGCAAAAACTTCTGCAGAACCCGCGGAATTAAATGAATGGGAGGAAATGCGTAGCACAGGTGATACTCCCACGGATGCGACAGCGCATCCACCTCTAATGCGTTGTCCGCTGTACTCAGGGAAAAAAAAGCGTTCCAACTTCGCGTTGGACTGAGTGGTAAACAGATCTACTTGCGGTAAACCCCACTCCCTGGATAGGAGGTTGAAAACCTCCTGATCCAGACTCCATTCGTCCTGGAAGCCTGAACCCGACTTAAGTAATCTGCCAGTGTATTCTGTGTTCCCTTTAGGTGCACTGCCGAGAGAGAAAACAGATTCACTTCTGCCCAAACAAAAATCTCCTTTGCATTTGCCTGAAGCAAGGAACTCCTGGTGCCCCCCTGTTTGTTCAGATAACACACCGCGGCTACATTGTCTGATAGTACCAGTAGATGCTGATGCCAAAATCGCGTTCAGAACCGCTCGCAGCTCCCTCCAATTGGAGGGCATCTGTGCCTCTCGCTGAGACCACTGTCCCTGAGTCACCTGATTCTGCAGGTGTGCTCCCCATCCCCAGGCACTTGCGTCCATAGTCAACCTCATGGTAGTGTGAAAAGACCACTGAAGTCCTTCCGACAGGCGACCTTGATTTCTCCACCACCATAAGCCCCTCCTCACTGAAGGGGGAATCCTGACTGTGGCGTCCAAGTTTTGCCGGGAATGGTCCCACACCCTCAACAGAAAACGTTGGAGACCCCTCTGGTGGAACCTTGCCCACTGGACAGCCGGTAGACATGAGGTCATAAGACCCAGCACTGACATAATTTCCCTTAGGGATGCGGGGCAATTCGTCTGCAAGCGACTCACTGCCTTTCCCACTTTTTGAATTTTCTCCACTGGGAGAAAAGTCCTCTGCTCTACCGCATTCAGAATGTAACCTAAAAATACCGCGATCTGGGAAGGAACCAAGTTTGACTTCTGAAAATGTATCACCCATCCCAGGTCCTGTAACCAACTCTGTGCCATCTCCAGGTTTCTTGTACAAAGAGCGGCAGAGCTGGCGGACAGGAGAATGTCGTCTAAATATGGGATGAAGTCAACACCTTGCATCCTTAAAGGAGCTAACACCTCCCCCAACACTTTGGTAAAAATGCGAGGCGCCGAGGACAACCCGAACGGGAGGGCCCTGAACTGGTAATGCACCACCTCCTGACCTATCCTTACCGCCAGACGCAAAAATACTTGGGACATCCTGTGAATAGGAATGTGGAGATAGGCATCTCTGAAATCCAGCGTTGCTAAAAAAAGAATCTTTTTGTAACAGGTTTCGGACCGAAAAAATGGAGTCCATTCGAAACCTCTTGTACCCGATTGCCAAGTTCAAGAGTTTGAGAATCAGCCTGTACTTTCCTGATGGCTTTTGGACCACAAAGACGTGAGAATACAGACCCTTATCCTTATCCGGTACCTGAATGAGCACTTTCTGATCCACCAA